AAGTAAATGAGCGAACTTCGAATTTGGTCAAAAAATGAGAAGTAAATGAGTGAACTTTGAATTTGGTCAATTTAGAGGAGAAGTAAAGCACATACCTAGCGGCTTTGAGAATATATATGCTTATTCTCTAAAGTCAGCAAAATTTATACAAATGCATATAAAATTATCGAGAATTGTAAACAAACGTATTTAAACATATTCTCAGATGTTGGCATTTTTATACAAATACCTGTTGAATTATTGAGAATCATTTTCAGTTTTATACGCTTATTCTCGTATGCAAGCAATTTTTATTAAATAAAATGCGAAAAAATAGCAAAACTAATTTAAACTTGCATGGAGTTGAAGAGCCTTGAAGCATATGCATATGTGTACATAGGTATTTTTATATGTTATGTAAATAATAAATATAATAAATAATAATAATCAAGAAACTATAATAAAATAATCATTTCTCGCTTTTTTAGTATATATCATCTGGCCAATTAGTATTTATAGCGATAGATGGCCACACCAGCAACGCCAATTAGTATTGAACCTATTAAGTAACCAAGCAATTTTACCTGAAAGATATTTTTTACTACTTAAAAGTAACCCAATGAAAAAAATTGCTTCTCAAATTTAAAATTGAATATTAAAAAAAAGACTTTTTCACTTCTTACCTCATTTATTTCTTTACACTCCATCTTTTGCCTAAAAATTCTGTATCAATGGAGGATGGATCGAATGTCTAAATGCTATATTGCTGGTGGTTGATATTGAAATGATCGAACGGGAGAAAAATTTCCACAAATTAGCAGAAACCGTTATGATTTTTCATTGTATATGTGAAAACACCTATACAATGAAAAAAAATAGCACAATTGAAAAAAAGGGTTGCCATCCCAATACTTCTACAGTGGTACGAACAAAAATTTTTGCTTATTTTAATTTTTTTTTCTTTTTTAAGATCCTCATTTGTCAGGAGTACCGACACCTGTTCAGGAAATTATTGATAAAGGCTACATACGCTGGCGAAATGTCAATGAATTTATAGGTAAATCGAAATCGGTCGTAGAGTTTTATCGTGCCTATTTTAATGCGTGCTAAAGAATGAACTAATCTGAAATCTTTTGGTAAAAGTGGCAAAAAAAAAGAGATTATAATCGTTTTTTTATTATACAAGCAAAATCTTGCTATTTCAATTTTATTTAAGCAAAAATTACATGTAAGCAAGTTACTGTTTTTTCATACACTCTCATACAGAGACACTCTCTTCAGCGACGTGAAACGGTTAGGGACAATAAAAACAAACAGAATGAACGTAAGGACGGACGAGTGGCCCTATAGGCCGAGATTAGCTGCTATAAAACCTGCGGCACAATCTCGCGGTACGGAGAAAACGTGGAGAATAATCTCTCGGGATGGACAAAAACGTGGAAAGTTTCAAACAAGAGTCGGGTAGCGAATCACCAGGCTGGATTCCGCCTCTCCCCCCCACTCCCTCTGCTGTTAAACATCGCTTATCTAACTGCAAATTCCTCGTAAATAATAAATATATAAGAACAAAAATCCAAGAGTTTTTTTATATAAATTTTCTGGGAAAAGGACTTCCTGGGTAACGCTGAGTATACCCAGAAAAGAAGCCTCGTTACGCACTAAAGACGAAGAGGTAACATCGTCCAGAATCTACAAAAACGAAATTTTTGCGTTTCGCCAAAAAAATCAAGTAACATCGTCCTAAATCTAAAAAAAATAAATTGTTATTTTTTGACAAAAATGTGGAGGGTAATAATGTCCCAAAGGTAAAATCATAAAACTTACAAGTTTCACCAAAAATGTAAAGGATAATATCGCCCAAAATCTAAAAAAATTAAATTTTTCATTTTCGTCAACACGTAAAGGGCAACATCGTCCTAATTGGAAAAAAATGAAATAAAGTCTTCGTTTGTCGCTAAAGAAGACAAGGGCCAACATTCTCCTAAATCAAAAGATAAAAACGTCCTGAATCTACAAAAGCGAAACTTTTGGATTTCACCAAAAGCGTAAAGTGCCTTAGTCCTAAATCAAAAAAACGATTTTTCGTTTTTTTGCGAAAATCGGAAACGATAGTTTCGCCGTAAATTGAAAAATACGGCATTTTCGGTTTTTACCAAAAACGCAAGCCGGTAACATCATCCTAAATCGTAAAGAATGAAATTTTCATTTAACTTTTTGGATTAGGGACAATATTGCGCTCTCCATTTTTCGAAAAAATTAAGCTTCCATATTTTTCGATTTAGGATTTTTTTCGTTTTATCCCTTAGAAAATGACATTTTCCTTTTTTTGTAATTAGCCCCTCCGGTTTTGCAAAAACCGAAAGTTTCATTTTTCCAATTTAAGACAGTGTTACTACCCGTTACGTCTTTGGCAAAAAATAAAATTTAACTTTTTTTCGATTTAGGATGATGGCGCCTCCTCTGCTTTTGACAAAGACGAAAGCTTAATTTCTTTCCATTTAGTACGTTATGTTTGTTTTTGGCGCAAAGAAGTGGCTTTGTTTTTTT